ACATCAATGGGAAATTGCAAAAATGCTACTTTTTATGTACACATTTGCAAATATACCACTTAAGAGTGTTCATTTGCAAAAATGTCACTAATTATAGATTTTTAAACCTTATATCTCAAAATTCTAAACACTAAAAAATCTTTTGACCCCTAAACCCCCCCAAACCCTCGTAACTAAATCTTAATAGAACATAGTTAACCCAAATATAAATAATATAAAATTTTTTTTTTGAAAAAGTGGCATTTTTGTAAAGATTTCAAAAATGTGACATATTTGTAAAGTGGCACTTGAAAAGTGACATTTTTAAAAATTTCTCAAACATATCAAATACCCAATGACAAGGACCTAAAAGATGTTAAAAAAAGAAGCATCACCACGAATCCGTTCGTAGAGTCAAGCAGGACCTCCGAGAGCAAGGTACGACTGAAACCTTCCCTCACGAGTAACACTTCTCGCAATCTCTGGAGCCATCGAGTTAGCCTTTATTGACTCTGCTTCGAATGAGCAATAGGCAAAGGATCTCTGCAGTTCACTGATATCGCAGCCAATCTGTAGGTTTAGTTACGGCTGCAAAGGCAGCTTGACTATGCGGTAAATTGAGTTGAGGAAAATAATTGGATTGACTTTTAAAAATTGACGGTAAAACGTAACGCGTGAGTACGAAGTTAACAGAATCATACGCACGCTAGTGGCCACTAATGTGACATGGTTAATTCTAATTGGCTTTATAATATGTATAATAAATAAATAAAAAAGGTATCGTCTTCAACATCTGAAGCCTATAAAAATCTTTGGAAACATTTTTTTTTCTTGAGAGAACTAAAGAAATGTCGTGCTCAGCGTTGTGCGGCATGGCGTCTGATGTAGCGACATCTTGATTACTTGTTCCACAAGTTATTTGATTTCATAGTTATTATTTACTTTTATTGGTGTTTCCTTTTCTCCAGTAAACTTCTATATTTATTAGGGTTTGAGTTTTGCTTAAGGTCGGCTAGACCATGTCTATATAAGGCTTTGTAGTTCTTCTTTTGATAATTGATATTTTATTGAATAAGGAAAGAGGTATTCCTCATATCGAAGTCTTCGAATTCTCCCTGTTTTACAAAGAATTTTGAGCAACAAAACAGAGCCTCTTGATCCATTGATTCTCGAGCTCTTGTCTTGTATTATCCCGCTGCAACAGCGTCCCCCTGAGTGTCCGACTCGGAGAATATCACTGGCATATCTACTTCGTTTCTCTCGAGGAAACCCTGCTTCGCGACTGCGAGCTTCTCGTACTGCTTGATAGACTGGATCGAATCGTTCCCAGACATATTTCTGCCCATAATCATATTTATTCTGCGTTTTGAGGCCGGTGGTGCGCGATGTTGTTGCTTCGCTTCGGTGCGTCGGTCACATTACCACTCCACCATCAACAGCACACAGAAAATCATTGTTTACTCATATCAGCAAGAGTTAGCAGAAAACCTATGACATCAGAAGGAAATTTTTTAGCACCGCTTACCATCAACTAAAAGGTCAAGCAACAAGGACAGAAGTTGAAGCTGGAACAAACCTGGACGTCCACCTCTTGTCTCTGAACAGACACGAGAAAAAACTATATGATCTGCTCAAGGTGATACAGATGCAGCGAGAAGATGTAATGTCAAGAGGTGACTCTTTTC